TGCTGAGTTGATAATGAATTATATGGTTGGGATGAAGTGTTTTTGGAGCACTATTAATCTCAATTTATTCGGCCCAGTAGGTGTTAAAAATTGATTTAGAATAGTAGATGATACATAGCATGGTGTGTTGAGAATTTGATTTCATTTGTTGTTGTGTGTGGCTGAGGTTTGATGGGTGTTTTTTTCTTCAATTGTGGAAAATCTATATTATAAAAGGTCTTAATCTTAGTTTTTAAGGGCCTTTGTATACGAAGTTGATGCTATGTTCATGAATGTGTGTTTTGAGTTGAAATTGGTTTAAAAACTTCTCGTTATAGCCTCTGTTTGTGCTCAGATTATCGTGGCATAAAAGCTGTTTTATGGTTAAGTGTTATTCATTAATTTTTGTAGTGCTTTGAGTTAGGTCTCTGTGAGTTTTGGAATTTCTTGATTCGGAGTTGAATTGAATTATTTATGAATTTTTTAAGTTGAAACTGCAAGCAGTTTTTGAAATTCCGGGCAGAATTGAGAATCATGATGTTGGGTCATTTTTGACAATCTTAATGTGACTATGTGAAAATATGGTTATCATAAAACCTTTAGTATATGTTATAAGCTTTCTCTGAGAGTTGAAATCATGTTAGTTGGAGTTTTAATTGATTTTATATGATTTTTCAAAATTGGGGTTATGCCCAGATTTTTTAAAACAGTGGTTGTGTTTTTCGATTGAAATGTATGCTCTGAAATGAAACCTTTAACGTAGTTATTTGTAACAATTCTCTTCTTAGAACTTGTAGCAATTCAAGTGTAGTTTCTGTAGGTTTTGAGTTTGCATGATTTAGAATTTTGTGGCATGAGATATCTCTGTCTTAGTGACCTGATGTAATTGATAAAAGTTGCGTTGGCAGATTTCTTAACCTAAGTGCTTTACGCTTAAACTTGGCTGTAAAGCTATTTTTGCCTTAAGTGATCAACATGAAAGTTGTGTATATATGTGTTAGCTGCTCGTTAGTTTTAGAATCACTTGAATAGCATACTTGTAGCTCATGTTACCTTGGAAATATTGAGACCATGCGAGTTGTTCATTCCCATTTTTGGTCTACAATTATATTATGTGTTATTGTTGAATTATGTGGCTAATTTATATCGCATAAGTGTAGTTAAGTGATTGTGTTTTGGATAGGCTTTCATAGGACCATTTTGTGTAATGTAGGTGTGTGACGAGCTGTGTCTCGGCCTACCTTTTCCCTCGAACTTCTGTGATTTCATCCTTCGGATACCAGGTGGGTCTTATTTAAATTGTCTATGCCATGGATGATGAATGTTTATATTTGTGTTTATGATCTATGCATGAATATGAAATATGTAACCTATCGATGTGAGCTGTTACGGCCGTCGGTACGGTTATCCCCGTCGATGTAATACGGTTGCCCTTGTGAGGCAAGTCTCCTTATGTCCTGATATGGTCGTGCCCTTGTGAGGTACGTAAGCACATATGGAAGGCCGTGTCCGTAGCGTGGCATGTACTCCCGCCTTCGGGTAATAAATACATGTCTTGCGGCTAGCGATAGATGTGCATAGGAGTAATGTGGTTGTTGTGAGCTTGATAGGAGATGAGATATGATGTGATTATTTTATTTTCATGCTACGACCATACTATCTTGACATGTCATTATTTATGTGCATAGTAGTGAGCACTACGTTCATTTTGTGCTCACTCCCACCTGCTCTTCACGGATGCAGGTTAAGCAGGTGCCGGATGACGGGGAAAGACGAGTGGGTCGGTCTTATGGTTATGTTTATTTATTTCGCTTCTGTTAGAATAATGAGGTCTGGTTGAACCTTCTATGTTGAGACGTGTTGAACCATTTTCAAAACTTATTTTTGGAAATTTTTGAACCAATGTTTCGTTTGGATATTCATATTGGAATTATTTCTTGAATATCATGTGTTCGATTATGCATGCTATGATGTTTAGCTAATAATCATGTGAAATTGATGTTTTAAGGGTTAATGAAAACCATGTGAACAACCAGATATGACTTGGTTGATGTTAAATGTGTGAATGACGCCCATGTTTTCGAAAACGAGTTCAAAAATTATTTATTGATTTTGGAATGTCCAGAATTTCTTTAAAATCAAAGTGGGGTGTTACAAATCATCTAACCTAAATAAATAAATAAAACTAATAAATTTCTAATATACATTAGGTCATTATTTAGTTATTTAGTGTTTTTGTTTTTCATTAAAGACTCATTGTTCATATATTTTTTATGAATTGTAATATGCTATTCATTCTTTTTATATTATGACATCATTATATTATATTATTTTTAAAAAATACATCAGAAACTCATTTGTCAATATTTTATTCCGTTCCTTCAATGATATGTTTAATATATTAACTACTTTATTTTACTAAATTTAATCGGCAAAAAACATTCACCACCACGTGCATCGCACGTGCACTTTATAGTGTTATAATATGTGTAAGTTGGTTATACAAGTCATTTTCACCTAGTGAAGGCACTAACAAACATGCAACTAAAAATGTATCAAGAATGAAAAAAATAATATTTAACCATTTTTTTTAACATATTTCTTACAAGTTTGCGTGTTTTTCAAGATCCTTAACAAAATATCTTTAAAACCTCGCTTTACGTCTACGCATTGACATAGCACAAGTTGACCAGTAGGATAGTGAACACCATAAATTATGTTAGTAGCAGTTTTGAAATGTTCATAAAAGTTCTATATGTCTTTCACAATTTAACCAATCAATGATAGTAATGGTGACATTATTCTTACGTTGAGGACTCCTAAAAAATTTCTCTAATTGTGCAACCCATTCAAACATCTTTATTAGTATTTTATAAGGTGAGCTCCACTGGGAAGAAACGTCCGGGTGAATTTTTTTTAGGTTTAAGACCTTAACCTCTACGAAATTTTCCCTTTTTTTCATTTATTGAGAATGACGATGTAATTAAATAACGGTGTCCTTAATGGGCGTTCCGGACACTCTCAAAGCATTACAACCACTTTGGACACAATGATTAAGAACATGACACATATACCGAATATGAAAAAAAAAATCACCACAAAGGGGATGACAAATTTCTCTAAGTTCACTTAAAGAAGGCGTATTAGCACCAACATTATCAAATAAAATGAAAAAAAATAAAGTTTTTTGCCAATTTTATAAGCATTCAAGACCTTAGAAATTAAACAAGCGATATTCGAATCATTGTGAATGTTATTAAACCCCGCATAAACAATTAAACTTTTTTTGTAATGTAAAACTATCATTTATCCAATGACAAGTAATTTTCATGTAATAATTATCTTGCCAATGACCAAACCAAATGTCACAACAAATAGAACTTCTTTGGCTTAAAGCTTCAAAAGTTTGTGCCAAAATTAAATTTTTCTCACTCATAATAATTTGAATATTGCGAGTGAGAGTATTACGTGGAACTTGAGACGCACCTGAGTTTAAAGCCATTTGAGCAAAACTTTCATATAAATTAGAATCATGAAAACAGAAAGGAAGAGATGAAGCAAAAACAGATTCAACTAGATTACATCTATGAGTTTCATTAGAGTATTGAAATAAAGTAGAAGACGTATCTGTTCGAGTCGCGGATGCAGTGCTACTTCTCAAGATTTGTGGTTGGGTCGTGGAAATCCTCATTTCAGCCGGATGATGTGTCTTTATGTGCCGTTGCATCGTTCCATAACCTTCACCGACTTTGAAAGTGTACTTCTTGGCGTTGGGCAGACAATGTTTGCAAATGCATATAAAATGTTTGTCATTCTTTTCCTCACTGGGCAACTTCGTGAAATGCCTTGTGAATATGTCAGATTTCAACCCAACGGCTGTTTGGCTCGATTGAGGTTGTTGACTCTTCCACCATGAGTTTGAGTAGGATCTAAATCGTCTTCATACGCTTTCTCTTGGTCCTCCTAATACTCCTCGTGGACGCTCATTTGGGGTATCATCAATATAGTGAAAGACATATTGGACCTTCTTTGTATCAACGTCATCGGGTAGAGCCGGAACATCTTGGTATATCGTCGGCCTTGACAATGGAGATCTACTCGAAGATGCACCTGCATTTTTATGCTTTTGTGGCCGATCACCGATACCACTACCACGATCACTATGAGGACTCGACATTTTATAACTAGATCTTGGAGAATAGATTTTATAAAATATAAAAGAAAGGTGAAAATGATTAAAAATTAGAAATGAGAGAGTATCATGTAAATAATTTATAGAAATCAAAAAGAGAGTGAATTTATAGAATCGAGACTGAGTTTATATAGAAGCGAACTGATTTTATAGCAAATCGAGCATAAAAACTCAAAAAGAGCACGATCTTAAAAATAAGTAGAGAAAATGAAGGAATATTATAAATGGTGAGAAAAATCTAATTTTTTTGTGAAATTTTTTAGATTTTTTTTAATTAATTGAATTGTCAGTTCCGATTCTGTCTGGCGGCTCAGACTGGTTGCGTCAATCACGACTGTTGATCTCAACTATCAAGATGATTCAACGGTCAAATTTAAAAATCTGACCATTGGCAGTTCTAGGAGGGCGGGTTTGGACCCGTACTCAGACCCGTAACCGTCTATAAAAACAAAATAAAATATGATCATTGGATCTCTTCCGTCAAAAAAAAAAAAGAAAAGAAAAAAAAAAATCCAACGACATATCGGATTGTCAAAGGTTCCAGCCCGACCCATAAATTACAAAAAACAAAAAGAAAAAATTACAAAATTGGCGGGAGGGTGGTTCCAGCCAACCCTGAACCGGTCAGGCGGATTAAAATGTTGTATACATGTGAACTTGAACCGGCCCGTAGCTGATTCAGGATCGGTTTGGGCCAGACCCGTGGCCATATCTATTTCAGTGGCTACGAAACTAATTTTTCCACACATATCCCCGCCAGTCCATCAACTCTCAATCATAAAAAAGGGTGACAATTAGTCTCTTTCAACACTAACCTAATACAATATTTTCAAATGAAACTACAAGCGGGAAGCTTAGCCAATTTCCTCTCCTTGATAATCCCCCTCAACCTCTCAACTTGTTCCCATTGGCCTTGATCCGCGTAAATATTCGCCAATACCACAAATGCCCCTTCATTCTCGGGCTCCAACTCCACCAACTGCTTGGCCACCCACTGCCCAGTCTCCACATCCCCGTGCTTCTCACATGCGCCCATCAAGCACCCGAGCACAGGTGCATTCGCCCTCATCGGCATCCCCTCCACCATCCTCCGAGCCTCACCAAGCAGCCCGGCTCGCCCCAGCAAATCCACCATGCATCCATAGTGGGCCAGTCTGGGCTCCATCCCATACTCCTCTCTCATCATCCTATAATAGTATTTCCCTTCCCTTACCAATCCCCCATGGACGCACGCAGTCAGAACCCCAACAAACGTCACGTGGTTGGGCCCCACACCTGCTTGTCTCATGCTCTCGAACCAACCGAGCGCCTCACCCACATGCCCCTGTGCGGCATACCCCACGATCATGGAGGTCCACGAGGACACGTTTTTCTCCTCCATCCTAACAAACACGTTATATGCTAAATCCATCCTGCCACATTTTCCGTACATGTCGATAACCGAATTGTTCATAAGGGTGTCGGGTTTTTCGGGATTTCTTGCCTGGAAAACACACTTGTGCAGCTGGAAGGCCAAACCCAGGTCCCCCAAGTTTCCGCATGCTGATGTCACACTCACCATGGTCACGTCATCCGGAAAGAATCCGTTTCTCACCATCGTCAAGAACATATGCACAGCATCCCTAGTGCGCGCCCCTTGGGACAAACCAGCTATGATCGCGTTCCAAGATCCGAGCTTTTTCTCAGTACTATCCTCAAACACCTTGCGGGCACTCTCGAATCTGCCCCCTTTGGAGTAGGCGCTAATCAAGCCACTCTCACAATACATGTCCTTGTCGAGGCCGAGCTTGAACGAGGTCCCATGGACTTGCTCCGCCAGGGGCCGGTCCGAGAGCTGGCCGGCGGATTTCAGGACGATGGGGAGAGTGAAGCTGTCTGGTCGGAGCCCGGCCCGGCGCATGGCGGAGTGGACGCGCAGCGCCTCCCGCGGGGACTCGAGCCTGCTGTAGACTCTGGCGATGGTGTTGTAGTGAAAGGGGTGCGGGTGCAAGTGCAGTAAGTGGGTTCGGATTATGCGGCAGAAAATCTGACGGAGCTGCTTTAGATTGGTGGAGGCGGATACTTGGGCCGCGATTGCTTTAGGATCGTCAGGGATTGGTCCGTGTGGTTGGACGGCGAGAAATTGGGCGGAAGGGCTTTTACTGAAATGGGACAAGGTGCGATAATGGAGTGTGATGGGTTTAACGGAGGAACACCGACTATATTTGAACGACTTCATCAATTTCACTCTCTGTACGTTTGCACAGGTGAAATTAAGGGCTTCCAATCAGATTCTCCCTGTAAGTAGTTAACTCACATGTTGTATCACTTTAACGATTCGTTAAGGTATGTTTGATTGAATAGAGGGGAGGGTAGAGCTGTAAACGAACCAAACGTTTGCGAACAAAAGCTCGTTCGAGCTTGTTCGTGTTCGACAAAAGCTCGTTAATTTATTAATCGATCTGAGTTCGAACAGAAAATTAGACTCGTTTAATAATCGAACGAACACGAGCTCGTTCGTGAACGTTCGATTATGTTCTCGAACATTAATTTAATATAATTTTATTTTATTTTATATATATTTATATAATATTTTTAATAAAAATCTAAAATTTAATATAAATTTATTTATTTTTTATATATTTACATAATATTTTTAATATAAAATATAAAATATAAAAATATTTTTATTTTATTCTTTTATTTTCGAGTTCGAACGAACAAATTTTGAGTTAATCAAACATATTTACAAAGTTTATGTATTAAATTATTCCAAGCCCTGGTAAAGGAGGAGGGTTGTGTTAGGCTTGACGAGCCAACGTAAAACCTAGCCATTCTATGGAGATGAAACACAATAGATATTCGTTGGTAGCGACGCGCCATATCGGAACCCGGGTATGGTGTCAAATGGGCAAGGGTCGGGTCGTCTCCCCCTCAGGGACGCGCCATGTCGTGGTTTGGGCATGGTGTTAACTGAGCAAGGATCGGGTCGTCATTTCCTTAGTGGCGCGCTACATCGGCGCCCGGGTGTAGTGGAAAATGAGCAAGGGTCTTCGCATCTCTCTCGACGAGTGCGAAGGGCAAGGAAGCTAGTCGAACAAACTAGGGTCCGTATAGGTAGTTGGAACGTAGAGCCCCTAACGAGTAAGCTACGTGAGCTAGTCGATGCAGCTACTAGGAGGCGTGTTAATATCCTATGCGTCCATGAGACTAAATGGAAGGGGCAGAAGGCGAAGGAGGTGGAGGATACCGGCTTCAAGCTTGGTTAACTGGGGCTTCATCGAGTAGGAATGGTGTAGGCATCCTGATAGATAGGAGCCTTAAGGATGGAGTTGTAGATGTTAGGAGGCAAGGCGACCGGATTATCCTAGTCCGATTGGTAGTTGGGGATGTGACCATGAATGTGATCAGTAAGTATGCCCCTCAGGTAGGTC